TCCTAACCTCATGCAAGAAACTGAATAAATGAAGAAAGTTTTGGTGAAATCATGTCATGCATGTAGGATGTAGGAGCTAATTCATTCCATTCTTCCAAATTAAGACATGCATATCCAAAGCTTTTAGATATAAGAATAAATCCTTTAATTAATCTTGAAATTCATCCAATTACAGTTCAAACCTAAAGGATTTGAGTAAGCATGTCAATTTCATGGAATAGGTGAAAAATGCTTACCTAAAATGAACAATTCATGAAGGATTAGTCTTCAAGTTCTAGTTCCTCTCCTCTTTCTCTTACTTCTCTATTTCTTCTCTTACTCTTAGGCAATTTGATGAGAAGAATGCTCAATAATAATAATAATAATAAGAATAAGAATTCATTTCATTAATTAAATTGTAGTTAACTAACTCAAATAAATTAAATTAGCCTCTAATATTTATAACTTAAATCAAGTTAGTTTCAATTTGCCTAATGTAAATTAGGCTCTAATTTCATATCCAATTATTTAATTCTAACTTGTCAAAATTAGCGAATCAGACAAGTTTAATTTTCATTCTAACCTATTTGTTCGAACAATACAAGTCAATAAATCTCATAATAATCAATAACACTTAATCACATGATTAACATGTAGGAACATAATTAATAGTTCCAATTAAGACTTAATTCAATCACAAACAATTTCAGTAAATTGAATCAATTTTCAATTAAATTTCACAAATGGCTCTAAAAATTCCTATAAGCCCATCCATGCACTCAATCTCAATTTGTGCACCCAATAAGATTGTTGATTTCCGTTTCAAAGTTGTAACCTTAATAGGTAATTTTTCAATTTGGACAGATATGCACAAATTAAATTACTAGGCACTTAGTTCAATTAGAATTAACACATAATTAATTAATTAAAATCGTGATTAGCTAGTCTGGGTCATCACAATTACGTTTGGAAAAAGTACACTAAGGGGTTTTTCTTAGTGTTTTTGTGTGTTACATTGGAGTATATTATATTAGAATGTTACGTTTGAGAAAAGTATACTAAGAAATTTTTTTTTATGTTACATTGGAGTGTTACTTTTGAAAAAAGTACGCCAAAGAGTTTTTTTTAGTGTTACGTTGTTATGTTTGGAAAAAGTACACTAAGGAGTCTTTTAGTGTGTTACATTGAAATGTTATGTTATTGAAGTGTTAAGTTTTTGTTCGTAATGTGAGATTTGTTCTACAATGAGGGAAAATTCAAAATTTCTATAGTACAAATTGCTTAAATGTGTAATTTTATATTTTGAAAAACTCACTTTTATCACTAAAAAATTAAACCAAAACATGTAAGTGATTATCTTTTTTATGTAATTTCTATTTTAATTGAACTTTTAGATTCATAAGAAAAAAAATGAAGATTAAATAATTTATAAGATTATATTTTGAAATTTATTAGTAGTTGACCTAAATTTCTGTTTGTGAATATTTTTCATAATTAAAAAATTAAAACAAAGAAAAAGTGAAAACAATGGAATGTTTTGTGTGGTGTGGATGTGCTATACCATCAGCTGGGAGCTGACTCGGCCCATCGCCTTTAATAGGAAGCATTTGATTGGCTCACCGCCACAATATTTTAATATGATAATTCCACTCCACCAAGAATCTTTTTAAGGCCTATTGACAACATGGTTTGTAGTCACCTTTTTTAGTTAGTAGTAAAAGTTAAAAGTAGACTTTTTTTGTCTTTTTTTTCATTTGGGATGTTAGTTTTTGCCAACGGTGAAATTACAATTTTACCCTTCATGGGTCAAAATGTGTTACATAGGTGAAATTGTAAATATTTTAAATAAATGGGGGTAATTTGGTCATTTTATTATGATTTGACATCATAAACAAACATTAATCAAAAAAGTCAAAAGTCACTTTTTACCAACTTCTTAAATCATTTGTCTAAAAAAGCCAAAAACTTGATTAAAAATCAAAAAGTCACTTTTTACCATCTTCTCAAAACAATCTTAAAGTGTTTTTTTTCTAAAATTTTCTAAAGTAGTATATTATGTGGTTGAGATTTAATGCTGAAAAATTAATGTGACTTGTCATTAAATCTCAACTACATAATATACCACTATAAGAAACTTTAAAAAAAAAAAAATTCTAAAAGATCTTGGCTCATTCCACTCACATGACGGGATTGACACGGCCACTTTCTTTCTTCTTTTTCTTGTTTTTTTTTTCATTTTTATGCTTTTTTGGGCTAGTCACCCCACCATATGTAGGCCAAATGCGGGCCTGGTGGAGTTTTTTTTACGTTAAAAATTGGTAATAAAAAATTAAAAATACTTTTATTTTAATTTTTAAATATTTATTTTTTTTAATTTATTTAAATTATTTCTACTTAATAAGTGATAAATAAAAATTATATCAAAACAATTTAACATAAATTCTTAAATTAAAATAAATTATAATCACTCTAAAAAATTATAACAAATAATCCCGCTGTCTTCCTCAACTCTGGATCACTGTTCACCCCGTCAAATTTACACAACTACCCTTGTCTTTTTGTCTATCATTTCACCCACTATTGCAATCAATGTAAAAAGTAAATCGAATTTGATGATACATAATCCATTTTTTTGAGGCTTTTAGGCTTCATACCGTTCATACAAGTGATTTGATATGATTCATGGATAAATTATAAATACTCTTCAAATTGGTTTAAAATATAAATTATTTTTTATAATTTTAGAAATTATAAATAGTAGAATTTGTCATTTAACATAATTAATAAAAAAAATGAAAACATTACTAAAACTAGTAATTAAATTTTTAATTAAAATATAGAATTGATAATTTATCAATAAAATGTGTTATTTGTTACACGACTAGAAACTTGAAGGGACAGAATATAATTTTCAAAATCATAAAAGAAAATTTTTATTTTAAGCAAATCTTAGGGATGTATTAATAATTTATCCTTATATTTATATAGTAAAAGTTTTATATCATTTATTACTATATTAATTTTTAGAGACAATTACCAAAAAAAAAAAAAACCTAGAGTTTGACTCATTAAATCCTGAATTTTTAATTTTTTCAATTTAAACCTTAATTTTTAATTTATTTTCAATCTAAACCATTTGTCTATTTTTATTAAGTAAAACTAATAAAAAAAAATAATATTTTAGTTTTTAAACTCAATGTAAATATACATAAAATGTCTAAAATATAAATTTTCATTGAATTTAATGATTAAAATACTCATTTTTCATTGATTAACGAAAATAGGTAAATAATATAGATTGAAAACAAATCAAAAGTTTATAATTTAAATTGATAAAATTAAAAATTTACGGTTTATTTTGTTATAAAGAACTTGAGATTTTTTTTTTTAAATATTTTTTTTCTAATTTATAAATCCCACTATTTAGATTCACAAATTTATTTACAATGATGTGGACAAGGTAGGTAGACTTTATAACATTGCATGTATAACAAATTAAAAATTAACATCGATCATTATGATTTTAATTATGAGACTTTTTTTTATGAGTCTCGAATATTTTCTTTTCCGATTATAACCGACAGAAAAAGTTAAGGGGGTAAAAAAAGGTAAACAAAAAGATTTACCAAATAAGGGTAATGTGCGCAAGTCAAGCTGTCAATGTCCATATCCCAGTGTCGCATAGTGGTGTTTAGATGTGAAAGAATAATGTTCGAGAGTCACAATTTGTGTGGCTCAAATGGCTCAAAACTGTCAAAACGATGTCGTTTTGGCATGTTTTGTGTTCAAAACGACGTTATTTTGACAGTTTTGAGCCATTTGAGCCACAAAAATTGTGACCCTCTACCATTACCCGATGTGAAATAGCAATGCAACTTCCCATATGGGAAAAGTTCACGACTCATAAAATAAACTCAGAAATTGATCTAGAAATATAGAATTATTCTGTAGATTTTATATATATATTTTTTTGGGGGTTCACTCCATAAATAAATTTTAGTCTTTTGTTCTGTATTTTTCAATAAACTTTTGATATTTTATAGATCTACTGTCTCCTACGTCGTTCTCAGATCTACATAATCTCTAATTACACAAAAAAAGGGCTTAGAAAGCCTATTAACCCAGAAAGTTAATGAGAAAATAGATGTATGGTTTAGATTTAATTATTGTGTAGTAGAATTTACATCTCAAATATCTCAACAATCCATTACTCTTTCTGGGTAAGTTTTTTATGTTCTAGCATAGTTAATTACGAATTGGACACAATCATTTTATTTAGGGCGAGATAAATTAAATGTGTGAATTGCATTTCATGTGAGATATTTATATTTAGTACTCTATCCAAATTTTAATAACTAATAATATAAACTTCTCCATGAAATTGTAATTACTTTATAAAAATTCCACTAGTATCTAATTTCCTCTTAAAAAAAACGACATATGAAAAGAGAAATTATAAAACTATTTTGTATAATAACAAAAATGTGCAAAGAAAATAAAAGTTGTTTTGGTGTGGAATATTATTTGAAGTGCAAATAAAAAAGAAACTTCCAGTCCAGCCACCGAAGTGGGGTCCTGACCAATGGAGGAGGGATGCAAGTTGATCAAGGAGCAATAATGACCTTAGCCATGGGTTGGAGCTTGGACCGCACATGCATTGAGTGGAAGAGATTATTCTAATAATTTTTTTTTTATTTTTTTTATAAATATATATATATATATATAAAAAGTGATGTGATAATTTACAATAATTTTTATTTTTTTTTAAATTAAAACTAAAAATTGACAAATAAATCACCTTTCCTCTTTAATTTCTTTCTTCAACCCTACACACACCAACTTGTTTCTACAAAAAGTGATGTGATAATTTACAATAATTTTTAATTTTTTTTTAAATTAAAACTAAAAATTGACAAATAAATCACCTTTCCTCTTTAATTTCTTTCTTCAACCCTACACACACCAACTTGTTTCTACACCACTTCAATCCCCTATAAATTGCACACCAAACTCCATACTCACTCATAGTACAAACACACAACTTCATTGAGAGAGAGAGAGATAAAGAGAGGAGAGAGAGAGAGAGCAATGGAGACATTCCCAGTGATTAACATGGAGAAGCTAAATGGTGAAGAAAGAGGAGCCACCATGGAGCTCATCAAAGATGCTTGCGAGAACTGGGGCTTTTTTGAGGTACAATTAAGCCACCATGCTTATGTCACAAATAGTCCCGCTTATAATTTTTTTTTTATAATGTCAATTTAATTCTTTAGAAATTAAATAAAAGAGGAAAATGGTTTATTCACCCCCTTCATCCTCTCCCATTCATCTTTCCCACCATCAATTATATACTTGGTTTCTATCTAATTTTTTAACGAGCGTTATTAATTGTTATACTATAAAAAAATTAAGAGCAGAATAATCTTATTCACTACTTTTCGCTCTTCCATTCTATAAGCCTAAGTGATTTTTGTATGTACATAGATTATATTCATGTGGTATCTTCCACTATTATGATTGGTAGAACGTATATGTCATATTATTAGGTATTTGGAGAATACTAGGAACATATATATTTGTGATTAGTGGGAGAGTAGTGCCACTTGATACCCTATTATTGGTATAGAAATTTTTTTCCTAATATTGGGTGTTTCATTGTGGTTTATTATGTAGTTGATGAACCATGGAATTTCTCATGAGATGATGGACACAGTGGAGAGAATGACAAAGGAGCACTACAAGAAATGTATGGAACAGAGGTTCAAGGAGGTGGTAGCAAGCAAGGCTCTTGAGGGTGTCCAAGCAGAGGTCACCAACATGGACTGGGAGAGCACCTTCCACCTGCGCCATCTTCCTCAATCCAACATTTCAGAAGTACCCGATCTCAATGACGAATATAGGTAAACAAACATCAGCAATGTTGCGTATTCACAAAAATACTCAGTTTAAAATGTATCCACACGACAGTTCTGCATATTGGGCTGTATATTCTTATAAGTTGAAAATAATCACAAAATATAAACGCATTTACTTCTCTGTTGTTCAATAATAGCCTTTTTTTTAGTTTGTATAAATTATTTATGCCTCATAAACTGTACGTAAAAATTATGTCAAATCATCTTGCATGAATTTTCAAAATAATAGGGGAGAAAAGTGATCTAACAAAGCCATTGAAGTTTCTTATTCCTATTTTTGTATTTTGAGAATTTGTGTCAGAATATTCAGGGAGTTTTTTGCTTCTAACTTAAAAAACAAAAATATCTTAAAGAACTTAACAAATAATAATAATAATTATTATTATTTGGAAGCTAGTGTAGAAAAGTTTTTAATTTTTACTTTCTGATTATTAACTTTCAACTGTATCTAACTGCACCAAACAAGCTCAACACCAAGTTTAAATTTACACCTTATGTTCAAATAGTGATTTTTTTTTTTGTGAGTTCATACATATTGGATATTAGCTTGACATCATGATTTGTGTATGTGAATAATGAGCAGGAAGGTTATGAAGGAATTTGCTGCAAAATTAGAGAAACTAGCAGAGGAGCTACTGGACCTGCTATGTGAGAATCTTGGGCTAGAGAAAGGGTACCTAAAGAAGGCCTTCTATGGAACAAAGGGTCCCAACTTTGGGACCAAGGTTAGCAACTACCCACCATGTCCCAAGCCAGACTTGATCAAGGGCCTCCGAGCCCACACCGATGCCGGCGGCATCATCTTGCTCTTCCAAGATGACAAGGTCAGCGGCCTCCAACTCCTCAAGGATGGACAGTGGATTGATGTTCCTCCCATGCGCCATTCCATTGTCATCAACCTTGGTGACCAACTTGAGGTATGCTCATTAAGAGGTGTTTTTTGCTCATAATAGTATCGGTTGATATATTGGTGAATATATAATTATATATCAAAAATCCAAACTTACAGTCTTAAAAGCTTGAATTAAAACCCTGAATATATATAGTCTCCAATCCTAAATATATTATGCAATTATCCGGCTTTAGCCTTGGAGATGGGAATCATATCATGTATTCAGAAAATTTGTCCAAAATATTATCCAGAATCATCAACAAGTGGTTGACATCCATTATTGTTGTGGATCTCACACTATGCTAAGTAAATCCTAGCCACACATTCATTTTTTGAATCTCCATACAGGTAATCACCAATGGCAAATACAAGAGTGTGCTTCACAGAGTCATAGCACAAACAGATGGAAACAGGATGTCCATAGCTTCCTTCTACAATCCAGGCAATGATGCAGTGATCTATCCAGCACCGGCACTGGTGAATGAAGGATCAGACGATCAAACAAATCTAGTGTACCCAAAATTCATGTTCGATGACTACATGAAACTCTATGCCACCGTGAAGTTCCAGGCCAAAGAGCCCAGATTTGAAGCCATGAAAGCCACAGAAGCTAATGTCAATCTAGGTCCTATTGCAACAGCTTAAGAGTGGGTCAAAATGCATGTAAAGAGAAGTGGAATTTTAATGTTTGTTTTGTTTTGTTTGTTGGTGTGGCAAATCTAAGAGGATAAGGACAAATTATTGGGATTTTTAGAAGTCTTTGTTTATTAGTATTATGGACTTTGCTTACCATTTGTAGTAAGCGGATCAAAAGTTAATTATTATGTATGACAAGATTATGTTATGAATAAATCAGTTCACTATTCATGTCCTCTTTCTTTTTTTCTTTTTCTTTTTTATAATTAAAGTTGTAGTGGATCTCAAGAGAGGATTGAGGATGTCTCTATCACAGGATTAGAGTTAGAGAGAAATCATATAGTAAAAAAGTAATTTGAATAAGAGAGAATAAAACAGAGAATCCGACTTCCTTTAAAAAGATTCAAGATTTTTTGTCCCTAAAAATGTATTTGTTCCTTATTCCATCGACTCTAATGTTAAACTAAATCAAATCAAATCTAACTATGCTTTATATCCACTCAAATGAGATTAGTTACATGAATTCTTTTTTTGTCATTGCATTCTCTGTCAATTGCTAATATTTAGTTAGATGCAGGTAATTTTTAATCAAATCATCTAAATATGAGAAAAGAAAGAAAGAGATACCCCAAAGCACAAAAACAATATAGAATTCAACATTTTTTTACTAATTTTATAATACTTTTCACTCATTTTAAAACTTCTTTTAATATTTTCACCATTTTCAAAAAAAAAAAATTCTCATAAATCTCAACATTAAATAATATTTATGGATCATTTATTAACATTTGCTAACAAACAATAATTGTAGTGCTTACGCTAGGGGACCATTTGGTGCATTATTGACTCACTGAAGCTCCAAAGTGTGCTTCAATTCCCAAGAAAGAGAATAGAATAGAATAAATAAAATAGATTGTTTGCTTGTTGCATGGTAACAGAGCATCTCAATTATCTCATTTCCAATGTGGTAATAGGATAACATAACCTTTAATAAAGGTTCAAGTAAAATCTAAAAGTTGACAACAACAGATATATGATCGTTATCTAGATTGGAGGGAAAATAATTGAGAAGAAATTTTTAAAAAATCAAATGCCAATTAGAGAAAATGATGGCAAACTATTAGATGAAATTTACTTGCCAATTCTGTCTAAACTGATTTATTTGTTGAGATAGTTATTAGGAGAAATTACATTACAGTAACTCTTTCACAAAATTATTATTGATTCATAGAATTTTTTTTTTTAATTTTAATTATTAAAATTCATAAAGTTTATTAAAAAAAATTATACTGAATTGTAATTTCTCCTATTTATTAATATCTTAATATTACTGTAAAAGTATACATAAAGAAGTTTGACAAGTTTAGTTGAGTGCCTTTGGTGCTTTTTTGCTTTTTGTTTTGTTTTTCAAAAAAAAAAAAGAAAAAAAAAATTGACAATAATTTTTATTTTTTATTTTTAAAAACATCATTTCTTTTAAGGAAACATTTTAAAGTTATATTTCTTTATTTTTAAAAATAAATTTCTCACAAAAAATCACAACAGTTGTTTTCTTTCTTTTCTTTTTCATCTTGTTTTCCTTCTTTTCTTTTTCATCTTGTTTTCTTCAAATAGAGAAAAGCCTTTCAAAGATATTTTCAACCACAAGATTAGCTACCAAAAAGGTGGCAAAAGTAAGGAAGATAGAGAGAAATCTTCAAGGTCACAGCTGTCACTAAAAATTGAAGATATACAAATAATCCACTTTAAAAGTTACTTTTGGGTAACTAGTAGGCCAACTTATGCAATTAGTGTTAAGTGGAGCAACTAATAAAGTCTATGACAACACAATTTAAATATGATCACATATCTCTCTCTCTCTCTCTCATTTTGCTTTCACCAAAAAAGAAGAGGAACTTGCTAGGAATGTCAAAATGTCAAGGGCAAGAGCTAGAATAGAATATTAAAAAGCTTTGTATCATGAGAAATTATTTGGTGTTCCAAAAAAATAGTGTTACGTGTCCTTATAGGGCACGTAAGCATTTCAAGAAACAATAATAATAATAATCATAATGTGATCAAATGACAGTCACGCAAGAATTTTTGTCTCGTCTGATAATTTTTCCCATATCATAGTGTCAAATGACTAGGTTGGGGTTTTTCATAAGAAAGTCGTCAATCCATGACTTCAAGAGGTGGTTACATATGTCTATCATCCACTATGAATGTGGGGAAGTGTTTGAGTGTGTAACCTTGCACATCGTATGCACAATTCACAAAATTACATAAATTTTTACAAATTTAGACCTCGTTTGGAAACAGACTAATTTAGTAACTTTTTAATTATTTGACTAAAATATAAATTAAAAAAAATTAGTATGTTTGGGATAACTTTTTAATTTTTTACGAAAAGATGTGCAAAAAGTAGAAAGAAAAAAAAATCTTTGACTTTTTGGTATGAGTTATTGACTTTTTGATTTTTTTAGTAAATTTTTGACTTTTTAACTAAAAAAGTCACTTGCCAAACGAGGCCTTACATAAATAATCTTATAAAAATGTGTAAGTTGAATACACATTTCCATAAGCTATTCATAAAATTTTGAAATTCACAAAATCATTACACAAGTCGTTTTATAAAAATGTATAAGTCAAATCACAAAATTACATAATAAAAATGCATGCATATGGTATACAATGCATACTTGAGAGTTTTCCATGAAGGGAATGTGTTGATGGTTATTACACAAATTAAATCATCAAATCATCCATCTAAGATACATAAAGTTAGGAAACTACTTGACAGATTCAGCTTACAACAACATCTCAGAGTATTCAATGCATCAAGGATTCTCTTTTTAGTGTGGGGCTGGTGGAGGTAGATGCATCCTCAATGAAACTCAAGCAACAATGGAAATGGGGAAATTATTGGGTATTAATTATAAAGGGAAGGAAAAGGAGGTGGTAAGGAGAATTGTTGAGCCGGAATTGCAAGATAAAGAAAAGGTAATAGGAAGGGTTGTTGATGCCGTGTAAACGGCACACAGTTGGGGTCTTTAGAGTGTATTATTGTTGGTTATTATAAAGATACTATCTTGGAACATTAGAGGTCTGGGAATGCAAGAGAAGAGGGGGGATGATCAAAAAGATAATTAGAGAGAGGAAAATTGATATTGCTTTATTTCAGGAGACTAAAAAGGCAGTTGAGTCTGATGATGTGGTTCGATCATTATGGGTAAGAGATAAAATGTAATACATGGCTGTTAACTCAGATGGGCTTGCAGGGGGTCTTCTGTGCATATGGGACCCTGGGGTTTTTCAACTTGTTGACTGCTGTAGCAGTAAAAGTTTTATCCTGTTATCAAGTACTCTCTTCTATACCTTTCAGTGTGTAATTATAAATATTTATGCACCAAATGATATGGGGGTTAGAGGCAATTTCTGGGACAGCCTAATGATGTTAAGAAGGGATTTTCCTAAACCATAGTGTTTAGGGAGGGGACTTCAATGAAATTAGAAACATGGGTGAAAGAAGAGGGTGCTCTAGGAGGGACAAAAGTATGAGAGATTTAAATAATTTCATTGACATATGTGAGGTTACAGATATAAATTTGTTAGGAAGGAAGTTCATTTGGTGTAATGACCATGATGGTAGAAAATGGAGTGGGATTGATAGGTTTATGGTTCACCCAGAATGGTTGGAACATTTTAAAGTAAAATTGTGGGTTTTACCTACTATAATTTCTGACCATTGTCCATTATTATTGATGGAGGATGAGAGGGATTAGGGTCCTAGGCCTTTTAGATTTATCAATGTGTGGACTATGCACCCAGATTTCTCTTTATTGAACAAAGTGTGGAATAAAACATATGAGACCATGAAATAGCCTCTCGCATGGATGGTGTGGAGATCCAACGAAGAAAAGAGTTTCACCCCTGTAGATCTGCAATGAGGAACATAGTCGGTGCCACCCAACCGGGGTTGCTGGTTGGGAGTACTCCGATGATGAAGTTAGTCCTTGAATCAGTAAATAGTATATATATCTATTAGAAGGGGTGTGTGTTTTGTGTAGAGAGAACAGACATACCTCTCACTTGGGATGCCCCCCCTTTATGTAGATGGGGGGTGTGATATTTGTTTGGGTTGGACCCATTGTGGGCTTTGTTTGGGTTAGGCCCAATAAGCTAGTACCTATATTTTTCTGGCTCCCACAATTGCCCCAAAACTTTCATTGTCTTCGGTAGAAGGAATGAGAGTTTTTATTGCCGAGTTATACTGTTCAAATAGATGTTAGGTCATTTGACAAAGAATACATTTGATAAGTGAATAAAATGTATGAATGAATGACTGCATATATGCTTAAATGTATGTGTAAATATACGTATGTCTTGAATGTATGTATAAATGTATGTATGTCTTGAATGTATGTATAAATGTATGTGAGTCGATCATAGGATGAGGAATGTATGTATGTCTTGAATGTATGTATAAATGTATGTATGTCTTGAATGTATGTATAAATGTATGTATGTCTTGAATGTATGTATAAATGTATGTATGTCTTGAATGTATGTATAAATGTATGTATGTCTTGAATGTATGTATATACGTATGTCTTGAATTGTATGTATAAATGTATGTAAGTCGATCATAGGATGAGGGGGGGTGAGCTAAAACCCAGAAAGGAATACAAATAAATCATAACGATAGGCCGCGGTATTCTAACCCCCGGGCATGGGTGTAGGCCACAGTATTCTAACCCCCGGGCATGGGTGTAGGCCGCAGCATTCTAACCCCCGGGCATGGGTGTAGGCCACGGTATTATAACTCCCGGGCATAGGTGTCGTATTTTGTCAAGTGCAAAGATTGCTTCCAAATATGGACTTTCATGCCGAGCTAGAAATATTTCTATAAGCCGAACACGGAAATGATTACCTGAACCAAATAAGATAGATTAAATAAGGTAGATATATCAGTCAAAAACTGGACCACGGCATTATTACCCCCGGGTGAGGGTGTAGACCTGCGGTATTATAACCCCGGTCAAGGGTGTAGGCCTTTGCTAACGGCGCTTTGTGCTGAGTGCGAAGGTTGCGCTGTACTCGGAGACTTTTGTTGATTTTAAGTGGCAACCATATGGCAAGGACTTTGAATAATGTATCATGTACCGAATAAGGTGGACGTGTTAATCACCAATAATATTGCTCCACTTGTATGGAATTGCCAAGTAGATATTGGGCCAACTATTTAATTGCCGAG